AATAATAATTATAATAATAATAGCAAATAAAACTCAAATAAAAACAGTACTGAGTGTTTTGTGTTTGTCAGACTTGTCCATAGTTAATATGTCCACAGAGTAATGTAAAGTACACTAGCAATATACTATATTTTTACTCTTTTATTCTGTGTGAATGGGAAACTGACTTTACACATCCACTAAAAACGATCTTGGGGCAGTTGGTCTAAAAATAAATAGCAAAAATAGCAGGAAAAGTGAAAATAAAAAAGTTCTGAGAAAAAAAAAAATCCTGTATCATTTCTTTAAAGAGTGGGTTTGGTATTGTTATAATTTATCAAAAGCTGTGAAATTCAACTTTAAGTGTGGCTGAAATGTCCAAATACTTTTTGGGGCCTGTATATACACTGCAAAGAAAATAACATCTGCAGTATTCATGGCATTACCACAGAAACATCTTCTCGTTCTTGCTGGATGAGTCTCTTGTGCTCAACCACCTGATCGTATTTCATCTGCAGACGCCGCAGTTCACCCTTCAGCTCCTCTGTGTTGCATAAAATCTCCTCCTGAGGGAAACAACAGGCCAGCAGCAATGAAAGAACCAATAAAATAGATCATGTACTAAAGAAACTATGACATTTGAGGAGAAAACACACACAACTGTATTTAATTTTATCAAGTGAGGCATAAATGTGCAGCACCACCCAGGCCAGAGTTTCTGAGTGGTACCTTCTCTTTCCGTAGCCTCTCTATCACCGCCTCCAGACTGTAGTCCACAGGACCGCTGATGCCGACGGTGCTGGTGGAGATCTGCTCTGACTCCAGCCTCTCCTCCAGCTCAATAATCTCAGCCTCCAGAGACTCGTTCTCCTCTTCTAGACACCAAACCTACAATAGCCACACATAGCTATGGTATGAAAGTAGAGGACATGTAACATACAAGAATAAAAGCTTATGCTCAAACTGTTGTATCATATTACACCACGCAGTAGAGGACACTGTGACTGCGGCATCTTCATGGCCTTAATATGATTTTCCTCATACCTTCAGGCAAAAGACTGACCCCATTAAACATCATGGAAATATGATAATTGGGCCACACACAGGGAACCCATTAAATCCAGCACGAGCACAGCTGGTTGTTACCCAGAAGAACGTAGGGTGTGTGTATGAGTGTGAAGATTTTCATACGTCTCACGTCGATGAGGCCAGCCAGGCGATCGTTGAGGGCAGCAATGACAGTGCGTTCATGGCCAAATTGAGCCACACCCTCCTTGTTCAGGGCACGAGCTGCAGCAAAATCCAGCTCTGGACATTCACGCACTGAAACGCCACCCCTGTCAAACAGACTGAAAGCTTTCCCATGTCTGCAATGGCTTGTTTATTTTCTGCACAAGCATAAGCAAACAATATTGAAGGAAAAGAGGAAATACTGAAGCACAAAAGAGCTTAACTAAAAACACGTTTATGTAGTTTATTTAGAATTTAAAGCAAGAATAAAGAGTGAAGTCATTGTTACATGATTCAATTTAGGATTTTGGATGGATGTACATGCCTGGTTGCAAGATGTACAGTATATATATATATATATAAATGTGTGTAAAGACAATATTCCTCCCATTGTTTTGAGTCATTTGAGTCTAATTACTCTGAAACATTCAATAAGTAAATATCATCCAAACAAGTAAATGGAAAACTTTTTTTTTTTCAAATGTAATTGTTAAAACATCAGTTTCAAATTATTTTAAGAAACAATACATATATATACACTACCGTTCAAATGATTGGAGTATGACAATTTTCTTTTTTTCAGAAAGGCAAGGCTGCATTTCTTGAGCAGAAAATCGGCATATTAGAATGATTTCTGAAGGATCATGCGACACTGAAGACTGGAATAAAGTACATTTTAAATCATCAAAATAGAAAACAGTAACTTTACACTGTCATATTTCACAATATTACTGTTTTTTATTAAATAAATGCAGCATTGGTGAGCGTAAGGGACTTCTTTCAAAAACATTGAAAAAGTGTATCAACCCCAAACTTTACATATAATAAAAACTAGTACTACTACTTAGTGTGAAGTGTGAAACAAAAATGAATTCTAACAGTGTGAATGAAGATGAAACTGAATCATGTCTTAACTGATTTTATATAGAGGAATTCTCTGAAATGACAAAACAGCAATTCTATGCGGATTCCTAAATATTAATTCACAATCTAGGGTTCAAAATTTACCACACCATGCGTAGGCTTTCAGACTAATAAGCACTGACCTGGCAGTGAAGCGAGCCTGGACTCCACAGCGTCCTGCAGCCTGGCTCCACTGCTCCGCCTCAAATAGCTTACGATAGGAAGACACTCTCAGCAGGGCCATGACAGCAGCAGGAAAGCAAGAAAAGATGATGACCGCACAAACCTGAGGTCTTTATAGATGCCGGGGCTGAGAATGTCACAGGCACTTGTGGGATCTCTCACTGAACACAAGGTGGACTAACTAGAGGAACAGCGTCAGAAGATAAACCTTTCACATGGAGCAGAAACAAGCCAGCCACTGCAACACGATTGGAGGCCACTCCTTCAGAAAGCAGTTACACTGAGACAATGACAGTTCAGCTTTGCAGAGCTTATTAAGAATTATTAACTTAGCAAGCACCAATAATAATAAATAAAATTAAAAAAAATCCCAAAACACTAAATAATATGATCATAATGTCTTTATTTCATTGAATAAATTAGATGCCCGGCCCTCCCCACAAATAAACCAAAGTATGTGCAAGTACCCATCTGTAAAGTACCAGAAACATCATTACAAAAACTGAATGGATAGAAAGACAGGACACAACAATAAACAAACAGGCAGGGTGGCGATCACAGCACACCAGAAATCTGTGTAATGGCCATCTGCATTTCTGTTCCACTGATTCAGTCTCCTGCAATGAGGTCCTCCCAGAAATATCATCTATTGGCATTGAAAAGAATGATTTCAGGCTATAAGTGTTTGAATAAGACAGTTGAGCTCCATGGTGGTCCTTTCCAAAGCAGAAATTAGAAAAAAATAAGCCCAACAGAAAGCTCAGACACAGACAGGGGCATGTAAACATGGCAGACGATGTGAAGTGATTTAGACGTCTGACATCATCGGAGAACATCGAACCAGTCAATATCATTCACAGAATTGTCACTATTTAGAGTTTTCAACATTCTCATGAAAAATATGCAGAAATTGTAACAGCTTGTCACTGGGGCAGAACCCCAAGGACATCTTTGTAACTTATTTACAACTAAAAGGTGCAGAGCAGTACCTTAAAAGTAGATATACTACTCTACAGGTACTAATATGCGTCTTTTAGGGTCATAAGGTAGAAAGTTACCCTTTAAGGGTACTGCCACAAGCTGTTGTACACCTAAATCTACAATTTCCACTTTTTTTTTCTGACAGCAAGGGAAGGCAGAACAACGAGTCAGAAACTGCTTACAACTCTTTTTCCAAGTTGCAAGACTGACACAAAACATTTCCTGTGAGATTTTGAGGAAATGTTGCTAATGGACAAAGGCAACAATGTCACACGCATTGTGGAGAAACAGCTTTGGTGGTTTGTGCTACAATAATATTTTAGCATTGGGGTGATGATTAATACGAGTATAACAGAGGAGACTTCCTCTTTACACACTGTAGTACAAAACCAGACTGACTGGTGCAAGAAGTTAAAAACCAGCAGAATTATCAGAATTTCCCGATGTGCACTATGAATTCAAGAGAGATAAACACACTCTTAACTGTCTCTCAGTGACTAGAAACAGAAAAGTGTACAGAAAAACAAAGTGTAAATGTAACATGAAACAACACCAACAAAGGTCACAAAGACTGTAAACGTCCACAAAATTACCCCAGTCTGGGTTAGTATCAACATTCATATAAATAGAAGAACCACAACAGCATCTTCATTAAAAGACATGACAGATAAAAGACAATAAAAGACCCAGTGAGCACATTAGTTAAAATGTTAACATCTCTGTAGCACGACCGGATCCAGAACAGATCTGTAAAAGAATAAGACCACAAAAGAATAAAAGTTTCAGACCCAGAGTCCAGATCTAATGAAGGTAACCACATCCGCTCACTGCCATTATTCAAAGTGAGTAAGAATTATGGGTGTGGTTGTGCCATCATAATGGACTGAAGAGGAGACCGGAGACCGTGTTTCTGAAGAATAACAGAAAACAGATTATATTTATCTGTGGAGGACATCCAATTGCCCAATGCTGAGGACAACGGTGTATGAGACTGGAAAACATAAATAAAATGTGCGCACCACAACGGACAATGCCGGCTGATTCATCATGATTCAGATAGAACTGAGTAAAGATCATAGTCCAGACTTCTCCACTCAGAAAAGGTAGTCGATTGTCAAAGTTACCTTGTAGGAAACACTTCTCTGTGAAGGTCATTTTCGAAGGAGAAAAGGAAGAGAGCATGAGACAGATGGAAAATGGTGCTTTGACGGAGCATTTAACCTGGCAGCAGCAGTCAATTCAATCTCCACAACATGGCTTTCCTTTAGTGTAACAAAGTCATTCCTTTGAGTGCCCATGAGTCACATTCACACACATTCAGTCAAATCTGGCCGGGAATATTAGATTTGGCATTACAGCACTCTGATCCAGAGGTTAAAACCAGAGAAAGTGGGGTTGCACATAGCATTATAGATGCTATAGTCAAAAAGATGAGGTTTGTAAGGGTTAAAGTGTAGTTATTAATACTACAGAAATAAACTGACACCTATTCCTCTGTAGCAGGAACAGAAGAACAGCGTAACGTAACCAATAGGCAGTGTCTGTGCAAAACAGGCACTATCCAACAGTGTCAAACTTTCATCACCGAGGCTGTTAGCCATCTTAGTGCAGGGTGGCCCAAATATCTCCCAGAGGACCAGCCACAAACACACCTCAAGTGTCTTTTTGCTCCACCTGAACACATCTGAGAGAAGACATAACACCTCGTTCTGCAGTCCTCTTCCTCAGTCTTCATCGCCTCCCATCAGGAACCCCAGTATGAAGTCGTTGGCTTTCTGACGATCGTGTTGCGTCTGTTTGCCAGCAAGGTTGGGAGGCGGCCGAATGAGGAGGCTTGCGAAGAGAGTAGCTGGTGAAGAGGTACAAGAAGAGATAGAACAGTAACACACCTGAATGTTTGCAATCTGCTGGCACTAGAGAAAGTCAGACTCACCTAGGAGGTTGGCATTCAGGTTGCTGTCAATCGAGTGTTTGAGTAATTCTCTCAAGAAGGCCATCAGGTAGCGGAACACATTGCGATGGGCACGTGGGAGCTGAGATACTAGCTGCCGTTTAGAGGAAAACCAAGAATTAATCCTTAAACTTTATTTCTTGGTTTAAAATGCATTTTGAATCTTATATTCTTCAGTGTGGCTTCAAACTTTTGGAAGCCACTGTATTTTAGATGCTTGTCATAAGATCAATGTAAAAAAAGACCACTCTAAAAAAAAAAAGAATAAAAATAAAAATACAATACAACTATTGACTTTCGATTAAAGGGGTCATATGATGTTGCTAAAAAGATCATTACTTTGTGTAATTGGTGTAATTAAATGTGTTTATGCGGTTTAAGGTTCAAAAAACACATTATTTTCCACATACTGTACATTATTGTTTCTCCTCTATGCCCCGCCTTTCTGAAACGATTTTTACAAAACTCATCGGTCTGAAAAGTGAGGTGTGCTCTGATTGGCCAGCTATCCAGTGCGTTGTGACTGGCTGAATACCTCAAGCGTGTTACGGAAATGTTACACCCCTTACCATATTGTGATGCCCTGTCCGGCCGGAGCGATGAGACAAAAACATTAAAACCCATTATAAACGAGGCATTTGTTGCATCAAGTGGGGACATAATTACGGATTATAATGACTTATACTGTCTTTTTACGCGTTGCGTTGCATCTTTATGCACCAAGAGCTTGTAACACTCCAAAGAGAAAGGAAAAATTGAAATCGCATCATATGACCACTTTAATCATTTGAACAGTCTTCTGTGTAAAATATATGGCAAAAATATGGTTGGATGGTTGAGACGTGTGCGTGTGTATATATATATATATATATATAGTAGATCATCCTGCAGGCCAGGGGTCTGGAAAAGGTCCTCCTGTGTATATAAAAAAAACTCATTAGTAATTTGAGATGTTATGGTTAATCATTGGTGCATTCATGCTTTATTTTGTTTACCTGCTGGCAGGCCTTGGTGTAGAGGTGATTAACAAGTAACCAGACCTCTTTGGGAATCTTCAGAGGTTTATCCTCTGTTCCAGCACTGTCCAACAAGAAATTAATCCGGCATTTCTCCTGTGAAATTGAAAAATTATCACTTTCTTACAAACTATATTTAATTCTGTATTAACTTTAAGAACAGAGACATAAGGTATCTTGTAGTACTTTCCACAAATACAGCACATTTTGGTGTCACATTTTTTTAAAATGTGCTAGATCCTATACTTTTGTTTACTTTCGTATACATTTTGTTGAACTATTCTTTCTCAACTCTATTCTCAACTGTATCCAACATTTAAAATCATAAAACACTGACATTTAGTTGAAATGATATTTAATTAAGTGGAACTGCATGCCTTTCTGCCAAAATAACTAAAAAAAATTCTTAAAATTGTCACAGCCAATTTTTTTTTTTTTATATATTTTTGAAAGTTTCTTATGCTCACCAAAGCTACATTTATTTGATCAAATATAGTAAAAACAGTAATAGTGTGAAATATTATTACAATTTAAAATAACTGTTCCCTATTTTAATATATTTTAAAAAGCAATTTATTCCGGTGATGGCAAAGCTGAATTTTCAGCAGTTCTTCAGTGTCACATGATCCTTCAAAAATCATTCTAATATGCTGATTTGCAGCTCAAGAAACATTATAGTTTATAATTAATTTTAAAAACTTTTATATAATGTCATATAATGTAATATTTGTGGGGGTTTTTTTTCATTTGCACCCGTTTTGTGGAAAGTGCCTTTAAAAATACAGATATTTGTTAAGATGGTTCCAGTACAACAGTACAACCTGGAGAATGACGACTTTGTTAACACTTTAAAGCATATAACAGCCATAACAAATTCATCCATGTGACATTTGAAAAAGGGTGATAAATAACATTGCTCTCTCTCTCTCTCATACAGACGCAGAAATGTATTATGTGGAGATAAGTGACAGCACCAAGACCACTGAACAATATAAGGGGACTCATGCAATTAGTAGGAATGCAACTCATGCTGAGCCAGAGGCAAAAACAACTCTGAAGAACAGTCGACTCCAAATTACAAACACTGATTTGTGAGGCGGGTTTCGCCATGCTGTGAGCTGCTATCTCTCTCTACTAATCTAATATCGCTGGCTGGTGAGCAGTGAGCTGGGTGAGGAAAGGAGGGGCAGAATTCAAGCCGAGAGATTCAAGCCTCAGTGACTTTCATTAGCCTGAACCAGCAGTGACTGCAGCAAGCTGACCTGTAGGAACGGGCAAGCACATCGAGACACTGTCACACTGGGACAAACATTTAAAAACAGGACAAAGTCACCCACAAACACACATGTAGGTCACAATAATTGCAGCTGTCCTATTGCATAACCTAATACGTCTTTTCTGTGGATAAAGAGGGACTTTACCTTTTCCATGCAGCTATCCTCTCCCTGAGAGTCATGCAGACCCAGAATGATTGGTCGAAAAGGAGTAGTCAGAAGAAAGGAGTAAAAGAAGGGACAGAGATGAGACAATAGAGAAACAAACAGTGAGAACACGGAGCCAGTATTGCAAAATCACAGATAAGCAGCTTTCGGCAATCAAAGGTGATCACTGAAAAGCAGAAAGACAGAAAAAAACTAAAGATGACTACTCTCTAAATGAATAACTAACCATATTTTGAGAATATAGCAGCAAATGGAAATGTTCCGAACAGCACGGGTGGCTTGCATGATGACCTACTGGTCCTGAACAACCTGTATCCCATAAAAACATTTATTTCTATACATGACTTCCTCATTCTAGCCTCAAAGAAGAATCATGTCAAACTGGACATCTAAAATCTCTTATCTAAAATCTGGGTGCAAAATTCCTTGCCACTGTCTGTCATGACCTTCTACTGGCTAAGAAAGGAAGACAACAACTTTTGCAACGTCAGCCACTTATCCTTACTTGGCCATGTATCCTGTGATTATAATCCATCTAAATCAACTGAAGTTGCGGCCTGTGCCTCACCAGATCGATGAGTTTGGTGATGGGGATCTCACGGATGGGCTTCTTCATACGGCACAGGGTCTCTAAAGATGTGCCGAAACAGCTGGGCAGGTAGTTTCCCGCCACAGTGATGAAGTAGTCTTTCCCCCGGTCCAGATGAAGCACCAGGATGTCCTCGATTTTATCCTCACCAGAGTTTAGCAGCGTCACAGAGTCTTTACTGACATACACCTCCAGAAAGATCTCCATTGCCTCATCTACAAGGAACAGGAATATATAGACAGTGTGGAGGATGCGCATTCTGCACATTAATAAAACAATTTAAATGACACATCATATGTGTTTTTTCAACTGTAAACATGGCCAGCTGACATGACACTTTACTGTCTTTAAAGAAAAATGCAATTAATTTATTCTCTTATGTTTTCATCATTTGGCAAAATGACCCATTCACAAAACTGTGTTTTAATTACGGATGCACTGAAATTATTTTGAATCAAAACACCAAAACTGAAATTAGTTATCCGTTAGCTGTTTAGAGGTGTTCACGGGTCATAAACTAGTAATAGTAAAGTTTTTGGCAACAAGCCACCTCTTGATATTTCAGGTGAACAAATTTAACATATTTTCAGTAAAATTCTGTGGTCCTTCTGGACGTGGATGCAAATCAAGTATACTGACATTATCCAGCCATGAAAATTGAATAAAAATAAAAAACACAGTAAAAGGATAAAAGGAAGTAAAGAAAGACATTATCAAACACTGTCAACTACAACATTCATTTTTATTTGATGCCATATGATATACTCACTAGGGTCTAGTACCCCTTCGCTGGGCTCAGCACGTAGCCATGGCTTACAGTATTGAGAATCATTGAGTTTGGGAATGAAGGCGAAGGTGCAAGCAACCTGTCCGTCATTAGTGATGAGAAAACTCTGACGCTGAAACTGACGGAACTTCACATTCTCAAAAGTGAACTATGGGATAAAGAACAGGTGTAACATGAAAATGATGCTGTAAGCACATACAATACCATTCAAAATGTTTTTGGCAAAGCTGAATATTCAGCAGCCATTCTTCAGCTTCACATGATCCTTTAGAAATTATGCTAATATGCTGATTTGGTGCTCAAAAACATTTCTTATTATGATCAATGTTCAAAACAGTTGTGCTGCTTAATATTTATGTGGATACCATAATATATTTTACATTTATGTATGCATTACAAAATATCCTCAGTGTGAACTGATTCAGGGTGATGCAGATCAATTTATTTTTACTGTCTTTTCTTCTTTCTTTTATTTTAAAGATAAAAGCATTTAGTCTGAAAGCAATTATGGCACATGTGATCAGCCCATAACCCACTCGCAGTCCAGAGAAATGCTAAGATTGTGCAAACATTATCGACCCTCCACTGATATAAATAGTGGGATCTCAGAAAGACTGGAGGCAGGCCAGTGGATCGATGCAGAGACAGTTTGTCAGAGGAGACACTCCCCTGTCTGGCTTTGTCATTACTCACCTCCCGTTGTGTTAGGGACAAAGAGGGCAGAAAGTCATTTTCCATCCTGTCCATGTCCCGCACAATCTCTTCGAACACCTTCTTGTAGCGCTGCTCAATCACCATCTTCACCTGTAGCACACATAAAATCAATGTGATGCTCTCAACTGCTTTATTGGAGCATGATGAAAGAAGTAAACCTCACCCCGATACTGAAGAGAGAGCTGACAGGTTTGTGGTCACTGGTCTTCAGCTCCATGTGACTGCGGTAGTGAAGCTGCTTCACGTTGCTCCCCCTCCAGAGGATACGGTCGCACCAGGCCGGGACTCGACACTTCCCACTGTGGACGACAAAAACCAAATCAAACCTGATTCTTTTAATTTTAAGATCATCAAAGAAAGATGTATGAAGGAAGAGGTCCTAATCTCCCAGAACTTTACCTTGAGTCCCATCGGTCTGATTTAGCATCATACTTGTAAGTTGGGCAGAAATTAATCTCCCCTTCCATAAAGTCAGTGAAGGCACATTTAGTCTTTCTCTGGATGTTCAGCTGACAAAGTGGAACAGAAGATGCTATTAAGTGTGCTTTTAGAACAAAAATGGAAGTCCGCCTATATTTGGCTACCACTTAAAGAACTGCCATATACACACACACAGGAAAAAGAAAAGAGGAAGCAACAAATGATAACCTAAACCAGATAAATACAGGGGAGTGCATAGTAAAGGAAACCACTAATGAACACACGTTTGTGTTTTGTAATTACAAATATTAATAACTAATATTATTCATATAATAATGAGTGAAACACTTCTAAAATATTATTATAAAGTAGCATCACTGCGAGGTCTTACCTGATCATACTCTTGAAGCCTCCGCAGCTCCTTCTCAGCAATAAGTCTTTTTACCTCCCCAGCATCAGGAAAACATAGCCTGTAGTTGAGATCTCCAAGCCAAATCACCACACTTAGAGGAGAAATCATAACACTGAACCATTTAAATATAGACCCAATATTAGCTTTAAAATTCTGTTATCTAATCACAGGAAATCAGTTTCAAAAATGGCTACATTGGATAACTAGATGTTGGTGACACTCACTCATGTTTGACTATTCTTAGAGGTGGATAGTCCAGCAGGTGGAAACTCATGCGGGCACATATGTCTTTGTAGTCCTGGTTCCGCCGCTCATAATCATCCACATGAGCCGCCAAGTGAGAGTTTACGAAGCAGAAGCTAGTATTATGGAACACAAAGCGCACAGCCACTCCTCCTTTATTCCCCTACAGTAATGGAGCAATAAAAGTGAGTTAATATTATCAGGTCAGACAATGATCTACTGATCATTCGTTTTGTGGTCATTTCTGTCATTTGTGTAATCAATACCACTCTAAGAATACACCATATCTAATGCAAATACAACAAAAGATACACATTATATGCCAAGTGATAGGCTAGAAGTACTTCCTGTTTTGACAAACCACTACCTATTGTTACAAATTCAAACATACCATTTTATTCATGAGGCCAGTTCCCACAGACTCAGAAGCCACCTCTCGAATGTGATGTTTGTGCTCCTTGTTGACATACACCACTAACATCATTCCCACTAGGCGAATGGTACGGATCTGAAGACAGGATGCAGAGCCTCATGAAAAGTTCACACAAAATTAAAGCAAGCACCACATACTTTCTTCAGCTGACCACAGGAAAGACTAGACTGTTCTTTGCAATTTAAATGTTGAAAAGCAAAAATCAGCTGTCGTTCACTCACCCGTATGTATCTGGCTTTATGATGGAGACTTCTCTCTACTGCATCAACCCATAACTGTTCTTTGGAAGAGTCCATATAGAAAAAGGCCTCTGTGCTCAGGTCCAGCTCCTGAAATCTGCCAAATAACAGAACAAATCAATATGAACATAATCAATCAAATCTACGAATGGACAATTAATAATGTACAATTATCTATAAAGGGTGACATATTTAAGGTCTGTCCCACTGGACTCACAAAATTGAGTGAGTGACGAGTGAGTGACGTGACATGGTGCCAAGTATGGTTACCCATACTAGGAATTAGTGCTCTGAATTTAACCCATCCTAAGTGCACACACACCGTACTATAATGACTGTTTCAAACAGGTTTCCCAAATACTGCCCCATTTGCATGCTCCAAATGTGTCTCCAGTGGAGCAGGGACCTCATGTTCTGCCACTCACCCCAGTGCATAGACATCTGGAGGGTCTGGGTCACTGCACAGCCAGGGCTCAAGACTGCTGTCAGGAGACTGACCATTCACATTCCAAGTGCCAATGAAGAACCTGTTAAGCAGTGACTCAATCAAATGCCAGGAATCAGTTCAAACAATATCAATGACACATTTTCAGGCATGTTGCATTTACCTAAAGTTCTTAATGTCCACGTATTCTTTCTCCTTCTTGTTGAGACGATACTTGAGCAGGCCTTCCCTTGACCCTGCGTGGCTGCTCATCATGGCCTGTCTCATGGTGTAGTTGGATGGGCTGTCAGAGCAGGAACCGGAGCGGTCTACAGACTGAAGTCTGTAACTACAAACAGCAATAAGTTCAACACAGCTGAAAATCCACATGCTTCTGCATTTAAGACCAGTAGCACTCACTCATTTCTGACTGATGTGGAGTTCTGTGTGGATGGTGGCCTTTCTTTGGTAGTTGGGCCTGCCGTGAGGTTACACGATGGTGTATATGTGCCCTTCCGAGGGGGCAGTGGTGGAGCAGGTGGCTCTCGTTGTGCAACTATACGATTTTGCTTGTTCTTCTTCTCTTCAAAGCCAAAATCTGTGGCCAGTGAGAGAGCGGAGTCTATAAACAGAGAGGAACAGACCAGCAGGATTGTAAGTGACAAAGCGTTGACTAGCAACTACTGTCTTTGATGTATCTGCTCATGCAACCCCATGTAGAAATTGTAATGTTCTTGTATTATTTGTGCCATTTTTTATAACATACCTGTTTTTGAGGGCTTTACTAAAGTGCTATTGTTGATGTTATTTGAGGTGGATTTGGAGGTTCCTCTTTGAGGTGGGACTGGAACAGGTACAACAGGCTCCATCTTTCTGGGCAGTGAACTCTTCCTCTCAGCTAAAGGTGGACCATTTAACACTGATGTTTCATGTAGTTACGGTGAATGGCGAATGGTTTTCAAAATGTCTTCAGCAGTGAAAAAATATTTAATATTGTCATAATTTTATTATAGGCAGCTCTACTTTCAAGAGTGGAAAGTAAAGCACAGGTCTGTTTCAGTGAACAGTGGGCATAAACATTGATGCAAGACCAAAAATCTGTACATTCAAAACAACCTCAGAAGGATAAAATCAACCTGTCAGAATAAACCACAACCAAAAGAAAAACAAAAACATGAAAAGCAGGTTTTCATGGTTTTCAACTTTAAATGTTTCCCTGATCTGGACATAATATTTCTTTTTTCAAATCTCCTTATAAAAACGAATATGAAAATCTTTGATTAGAATTCGGACACATTTTTGTTTATACGTGATGTTTTCGAGTTATCTTACCTTCAATGATTAATAATTTCAGAGTATTACCGACAGGGTCTTGTAAAGGCGGGAATACACCACATGACTTTTGTCCCAATGTGAAGCATGGACAATGCTAGTTGATGAAAGTCTAAGTCAGTCTGCAGATTTTGGGCAGTCAGAATTTCATGAACAAAACTCAAGAAAACAAAGAAGATTATGTAATTCTGTTCAAAAATATCTTCTCCAGGAGAAGTTAACCTGATGCCTTAAAACAAAAAGATTTTATGCCACTAACCTGATAAAATCTGGCAATGCTTTTTTTGTTGTTGCTGTGTTTGGAACGTCTTTAAAGTCTGGTAGTGTGTGATGCCCAGGTTTTCTCTCTAACCATTTACAAAGTCGGCAAATGTATGATGGCCAAGTGTTTTAATATTTGTTTATTTTGAAGTTGTGTATTGTATTCCAGCCTTAAGTAGACTTTGGCACACTGTCACAAATGAAATACTGAGCTCATGAAATGTCAGTGGACGATGTCAAGAATTGAAGCCTCTAAGGTAAAAGTTTGAAGACAAACTTAACCTGAGCTGAATTAAAATCAGTGATTTAACAAATTAGAGAAATCACGCAGCAGGTGGCTTAACCATTGACTTCATTGTGGTTGTAACAACATAAACTAAAGTAAACCAACACTAAAGAGTTATGCGTGTCTACATTTCTGCCTGACACTAAGGTCAAATTCTTCCAGGAAGCATTCATTACCAACAAACCTATAAATCTGGGTGTTGGTTACTCTGGTAAATAAATGATTAGAGTGGTTAATAAATAAGAAATGTGGCTTGATGTTTGTGGCTGCATTCTGTGCAGGGAAAATGTGCAGGGAAAATGAGGTGTATCACCGTGCTGTTTGGCCTTCGTCACATGCTGTAAGAAGGACTGAGTGTGAACATCATCCTGCAGCTCCAGGAGAAGCGCCGGCGTTTGCTCGCCTTGAAGACGAATCCGTACCGTCGCTGTTGAGGAACATTGTGTCACATTCTCACATCCAAACATCGAGCTATGCATTTTATTCATTAGCAAAAGCACTTATTTATTGAAGCAATATGCATTAAGAAACCTGCCCAAGTATACAAATAGCATAACAAATATAATGTACATAAGCTTCTACCATTTCATACAATTTATAGAAATAAAATTAAATGGATAAAAAGAGTAGCAATAAACTGCTTAATCTGAATGCTGCTAAAATAAGCTGCTAACAGCCGGATAGATATGATTGAACTATAAATTATGCAACAATTATTTGAAATACACTTGATTTGTATTCTATGCTGATGTAATCATCCCAACACACTGCATACAATTGAATAAGACACTTGGCTATGATTCAATAAAATATAAAAATAATTTAAAACAAGGAATCATATAAAACAAACAATTGAAAAGAGGACTAATTAAAAAACTTACTGTTAATCGAGATGTCAATGAGAAACGCTTCTTCAGCCTCTAAAATAGGAAATGAAAGAAAGTCAGGGACAGATTTTAAGGGGACTGTACCAGGAAATACATAACATAAAAAATAACCTGCCCTCTATGGTGACAAATGATTTTTAAATATTTGATCAGGAGAGGGAGATTTCATCATTCAAAACAGTGCTTATTATCCAAGCCTCACTGACAGAGACCAAAGGGGAGTTTGAACAGGGAGAAAAATATTATAGTGAGGAGAGAGCAAATGCATTTACACTGTTACACAAAGTCCTTCTGTAAAGTATAAATAGTCAATAGAAGCTTACCTCGAACTATCTGAAAATGGTTATTAATGGGGATAGAGAGCTGGGGCACTGGACTTAATACAATTGCTTCAGGATTTGCCAGAATATCCAACCTAACAACAAGAGATTCATTCATGAAATGTCGTACAAGAATACATAACCTGTCTCACAAAGACTTCCTTTATCAATTCATTTTATTCTAGGATTTTAACAAAGTCGGTTAGTTAGTTTTTTCGACAGAAACACGCTCCGTTTACAAATGAAAAAAAAAAAAAAACAGGGTGATAACACCACTTTTGCTCACTTTATACGTTTAGCATGCAGTACACTGTAGAGTATCATTTAACAGTTTAGGGTCAGTACGATTTAATTTTTTAAAGAAGTGAATACTTTTATTCATCAAGGAGATTAATCAAAACAAAAGTGACATGGATAAGACATTATAATGCTACAAGATATTTATAATGTATCAAAAGATTTCCATTTCATTTGGCTGTTCTTTTGAACTTTCTATTCATCAAAGAATTCTGGAAAAAAAAACTACATCCAGGTTTCAACAAAAATATTAAGCAGCACAACTGTTTTTAACATTAATAATAAAAACAAATGTTTCTTGAGCAGCAAATCATAGCATATTAGAATGATTTCTGAAGGATCATGCGACACCGAAGACTGGAGTAATGGCTGCAGAAAAGTCAGCTTTGTGATCAAAAGAATACATTTTAAAATATATTACAATAGAAAATTGTTATTTTTAATTGTAAGAATATTTCACAAGGTTGCTGTTTTTACTGTATTTGTGATCAAATAAATGCAGCCTTGGTGTGCATAAGAGACATTGTCAAATCTTACTGACTTCAAACTTTTGAATGGTATTGCATCTCTCATATTTCCACTATGGTCCAGCATAATCTTATCTCATCAAAAATGTATCTTCAGAATGTAGAGGGTGGAGGGAAGCTTATGGAAATGCAGCAGGCTAAATGCATATTGGAGAGCTAATTGCAGACCATATTTCACTCTCTGACAATAACAGTGCCAACTCCAGGGCATCAGGTTCCTCTCAACATGGTCTTACCTCCATTTCATTCCATGGGAAATTCAATTACAGTGGATTATTGGAAAAACCTTCAGATTTCACTGCCTGAGTGTGCTATGCAAGCGCATGCAGGCAAGACTAGAACCACTCTGTGCTGCCAGTGAGCCCCTCTCATTCAGTCTCAGAAGACGATAATTGCTGTAATGGATGCTGTTGCCAGGAAACGCAGCACTCATGAACAAGGGAAATTTGGCCTAGACTTACTAAGAAATCTCACATTCAATCAATACAAATAATAGCCCGGTGTAGCGATGATGGTTATAAGCTGCTCATGCCAAATATATTTCCTAATTCTCTGAGGTTAAACTGTGGCACATGCTGCCACATTAACGTTTTATTAACTAGACAGCTCAAAATGGTTATGCAGTTCAAGCACTCCCCATTCACCTCAAAGGTCTGTCCAGCTAAATGAAACATAACATACTTTTATTAGCTGGTTACACCTTCAGTGATCTATACAAAGATGCTCTAGCAATTCTGGTTAAGGGGACAGTTCACCCAAAAATGAAAATTCTGTCCTCATCTACTCACCCTCATGTTGTTGCAAACCCCTAAAACTTTTGTTCATCTATAAAACACAAACTTGCAAGAAACCTGAGAGATTTCTGTCCCTCTACTAAAGGTCCATTCCACCATGACTTTGAAGGTTCAAAAAGTTCACGAATTGATCATAAAAGTAATCCATATGAATTGAGTGGTTTCATTCATGTCTTCTGAAGAGACACAATTGCTTTATAAGATAACAGATATAATTTTGGCATTATTAACATTTAAACACTGATCAAAGTACATAAACAGAGCTAATCAAATATGGTAAAGGAAAACTTGAGTGTACTTGAACCAGTGGGGTTTGTTCTTGCGTGTCACGCAAGCATGTTTGAGTTTCCTCAATAACCAATTAAATTTGTTCTTGCACATCAATCATGTACGGTTGAGCTGCCGTCGACTGTATTTTTGTGCTCTATGTATGCGCGATGATCAATGTTTATATATGAATAAATGCCTAAATTATTTGATTTTTAGGTAAACTATCACTTTAAATACTTAATTTGTTGTTCTAATTCAGTGGTTCCCAATCCTGATCCTGGAGAACCACAACCCCAACATCTTATCTGACACACATGAGGTGTGTTTGATTAGGGAGACATCTACAATGTGCAGTGTTGGGGGTTCTCAAGAATCAGGATTGGGAACCACTGCTCTAACTGATTTCCCATAATCCAAGAGTTTTGTAAGGCACGAATGCTACCTACAGAAGTAATTTGCATAAAAGGTTTCAATGCATACGTTTACATCTAATGCCTAATGTGTCACAGTCAATGTACGCTTCCTCATGCACGTCTGAAATATCAACTGTGTATTTTGTTCTTCTTGTTATGAGATCCTTTTCATTACACATGGATTCAAAAAATAACATTTGTGACCTCTTTTACCCAGTCAGTTCTTGAGCTTTGAGTAAAGCTGAGTGTGTACAGTTTTAATGCAGTTAAAGAGTTTGTGTGCTCATGTGAGGCTTATTAGGCTCTAGGACACCGAGGTGGAATGCAGAATAATGGGCAGCATGCTGGCATCCACCAAACAAACAACGAAAGCCACACTGCCTCATTACACAATCTTTCTCAGAGTCTTCTGACAACTAGGCTATAGCAACCAGCAGTTAGGGCAATATGTAATTCACATTTCTTTCACATTCAAATTTCTGGGGTTCACAGAAGCAGAAGTTGTCACAGTAAGTAAACCAATAGTGAATGAGAGACTAAAACAAATATGATTTTTACATTCCAAATTGCTCCAACAGCAAAAGAAATGGCAGACTCAGACCAGAGGAAGATGTCAAATTTACAGCCATTGTATTAGTTTTTTTTATGCACAAGTTTTTTTATGCTAATATAACTCAAAATATGCTGTTATAAATGCACATTACATTTTTGTGGAAATTCTTCATCACACAGTCTGTGAAAGGGTGCATATTCACGATCTTTAACATCTTTGAAAGTTGCTTAAGTTTTAAGGATTATAAAGAATCACGTACATCAGATTGAAAGGAAAAGATATATCTGGTAAGACATATCTTATGTAAAATGTAAAAAAACATTGGATGTAAAAACAAACAGCAGCTTGCTAAAAGCAAGCTACATTCTAAAGATAGAGATGCTCATTAGATAGCTAGCAATTAGATGGCATGTGTTGGTTGCTAATCATGTCCAAAAGGCCAAAAACAACAACACAACCATCAATGTAATAACACAGACAGGCAGTAGCAATGAACCACCTGACAGAATGAGCAGTTCAGTCCAAACATTGATTGAACAGCTGCTCTGATGCTCATGTTTCTCAACTAATCCTGTTTTACACAAAATCATTCTTTAGTATAACAGCAAAAACATGTGAATCAAGTGGAAAGAAAACTGAGATCAAACAGAGAGTCTACTCACTTAAACTGTCCAGAACACTCTAACAGAGACAGGAGTCTTGGTTCTTTTTGTCCGTTTCTGAGCTCATGTCCTCTAACAGTCTGAAAAGTCACTGTTAAGGATTCAATTGAATAGCTGGAGGCAGAGGAAAAGGGAAAAGGGTGGAAAATGTGACGCCTCGTGGCTCTCCCATGCTCCCTCTCGTTCTCCCTCCCTCACACAATCAAAGAACTTGTTGGACTTTATATAAGTCTAATAGGTAAGTGATAAAACATTAGTGAAAATCCCTATCATACGTCAAGATATTTAAAAATCATTAAAAGCGCTACTCTCATAATAAACAGCCACCGTTTCTGTAACATCTATAATGTCATACCTTACAGACACATCATATCAAGTGACAACAATGTCACGCAATGATGTTCAAATTATTCCTAAGAAATATAAGAGTATGATAAAACAACGCTTACCATGAGGCGCTTGTGTATAACGTATGTCAGACAGCAGAGAGAAAACAGCAACCCAAATGACAACATTTGAATTCGGTTCAGCCTCTTTAATACACTGACAAGACGAAAATAATTGTTATGTTTACCATTACAGCTAGGTTAACAAGACACGGCAAAATGACACAGCTACTGCTCTTTACAAAATCAAAATGAACAACCGAGCTCCCAAACAAAGGATACGGCCAAACACTGGCTATCGGATATCCCGAGTGAAGACTCCATCATGAATGTTGTTAAATGTGTTGAATTAAAGCCGTCAGGCGACTAGCTAACAGGCTAAACTCAGCGCGAGTGTTTTCTCTTGTCAGGCTCCACCCCTCACCTCGCGTGGCCTTCCGGGCTGATTGAGAGACGGCTCGCTCGCTCGGGAATAATTTAGCCCGTGAAAACGGGTTTTGAATAAACACGGGTGGGGAAAAAAAACAATCAATGTACACTCGCTCTTCCAAAAAGCAGTGACGTAAAAGAGCGCGCGTCAGCTTGTGAGCCGGTGCGTCATTGAACTCCGGAGAAAACGACACCCATCTAATAGGCCTAATGTTACGTGTATATCAAATTTGGGGTTAAACAGAGATCACGGTTGACGACAGTTGTGTTGTCGCATTAGTAGGTAAATTATATCTCGAGTGATGTTCGGGTTTAATACGTTGGCAAAAATATGTTGCAAAACATAACCGGTCATGAGTTCCGAGGTCATCATCACCGCGCTGTCCCGGACGCAGCAACATCACTGGGCGTGTTATGCACTGCTCGGGGACGTCATGAATGCTCAACTTTTTCGCATATTGTGTGTAAACACAACATGAGTTACGGCATTCTTTAAATATTGACTTTATAGAGTTTCCGTCAAACGCCCTGATATTAATCAGATATAAAGTTGTTGCTAAATCTCAAATATCAAAATGAATATAGAGCTGATGCGCTCCTTTTGGTTGCATAATGTTGTGTGTGTTGCAAGTGTATTATTATTTCAGTTCCACCCAGAACAGATTACATGTTTTTATTCAAACCAAATTCCACCTGGATGGCTGTGTTTGATAAGCACACTATTATTTTATTTGTAATGTGCACTCCAAAGAAATCACATTACAGACTTCCATCCCCAGTCATTAAAAAAAAAGTTTGAATTATATATAAATATGAAAATGCATACATACAGTCTATTCCGAAAACAAGCAGGTGGGTTTGATACCAATGTCACAATTCTCATCACTAATTCTCAAATCTAATCTTGGACTTTATTCATGTAAAATCGTATAATTAGTGTTTCTTTTAACAGGGAAAACAGTCAGATATGCAGAGAACATAAAGATTAAGCAGACGAGGTTTTGATTTTGTGCATGGCATAAGGGCTGGAGTTGATATGAGGCCAGATGTCTCCATTGGACATCTCAGGTTTGTCTTCATCCTTCCTCTCCTCCATTACCACTGTCATTATCATCTCTGGGTTGAAGACGTCTGGTGTGCGGTAAGGGCGTGCGAGGTGGCGAAAAGAAGACCGCAAGGAGGCGTCATCTTCATCAAAATCATCTATTAGTCCTCCATGTGTCCTGTGGGAGGACTTGAGCTCATCTCCTAGCTCAGAGGCCAGGTCTTTCAGATCTCTAATCAGGGTGGACTTAAGACCAAACAAACACAGCAAGAAGAACAGACCGGCACAGATACCAGAAACAAAGTATAAAGCCACTGTCTCCGGAAGACCTTGGGCAAATGGAAAAGAGAGGCCAGGATGAACAATACAATCAACAATATAGATGACAACGGGATAAATCTATTAGTAAGATACTACCACATTTAGTATATGAAGGCCATTGCTGACTGCTGATGTTAGCAAACTGAAGAAAAATATATATTAATATTCATTTGTTCTCTAAGGCTTTGGCATGTGAGTTCATGTTAAGTGTTAAGTATTTACTGATTATTTACATGTAGCATATAACAAAACGTGTACATTTTAAAATTGAATAAATAGTTGATCATACAAAAGAAAGATGAATAATAGTAAGTAAAAATGGCATCAAATCATTTGAACATTCTGCGAACAGACCACACATCTAACATACCCTGGATTTGGGAAAAGATTTCCAGAGAGTTGGTGAAAATGTTTTGTGGTCTGGACACACCAGGGCCAGTATACCACCCTCCTGTGAAGGGGGAAGACGGGATTGGATCCAGCAGTCAGCAAGACCATCAACCACGATGACTGGCAGTTATGTTATATAGCTGAGTCACGGGCAGTTGTGGTCAAAAATTTACATACAGCTTTAAAAATCTGCTAAATGTTAATAATTTTAAAACAATAACAAGATAATAGAAATGCATTTTAGTTTTTATTTAGTACTGCCCTGAATATCACATAACATGTTTACACCCCAATCAAAAGTTTTCAAATGCTTGATTTTTAATACACCCTTCATCTCTTAATGCATTGTGTTGCCTTCTTGAGCATCAGTGAATGTTTCACCTTTTGCAATAATTGTTTATGAGTCCCTCAGTTGCCCTCAGTGTGAATAGATGCATCTCACAATCATACAGTCACTGCTGAAAAGGGTGCAGAAGATGCTGGAAAATCGAAAATGTGCAGTACCTGGAGGATCTTTCTGAAGAACAGTGGGCAGCTTAACTGCTCAGAACAAACAATGGACTCATAAACAATGATCAAAAATACAGTCATGGATCATCCAGATAACAACACACAGCATTAAGAATCAAGAGTATGCACACTTCTTCATAAATGTCGCTATTATTTTGTCTTGCGGACTATATGTAAACATCTGTTGAGTGAAATAGCTTATACTAAATACTAAATACTAAATAAAAACAAATAAATGAAAAAAAAACCATGCAATTTTTATGTTCCCTTTTATTTTGTCAAAACTATTAACATATTGCAGATTCTGCAAGGTGTATGTAAACGTTTGACCACAACTGTATAACTTTCCTGTCATTTTGTCATATGCAGTACTCACACATGTAATGAGTTGCAGTTATTACGTTGAAAATATCTTTTTAATACAAGCTAGTTTATTCAAATGAAAATTAGCTTAGTAAATTAGCTTAGTAATGAAGAGAGTTTGCACTATAAAATTCTGTGTCTTACCATGTGTATAGTCAGAGAGCAAGAAAGGATCTAGGTTTCCACGTCCAACATCTTCTAGTAGATACCGTGGTACTAAATAAACAACAACAAGGTAAATCTTTTTATGACTGCTTCAACATTAATGTAGAAAGTATTTGTAGTTTTCCTTAACCTATTGAAACATACCACAAGTGAAGGAGACTCGCAAGTGCTTCTTGGTCCCAGGGAAACAGGGGTCTCCAAATCCCTGAGCATCAGCCAGCACAGAGCAGTTTGTCCTGCCATGACACTTCCTTGACACTCTCCTCAAGGCTGACGGAGACAGGCACTCTAACAGGAAACAAGCATTTAAACATAATCTCAATAAATGAATGACTGTTTTTAAACCTATCTGATGATCTCTGTTCTACTTAGTACAATGAAAACAAAAAAGGATTTGAACACATAATTTGGTGCCTCTGCTGTTGTAGCAAAACCTTCCCACTAGATGGGAGAAGTGTGTTATTTCAGTCTCAGACCTATGTCTGGTTTTGTTTTAGCCTCTTGAGGGCACTCAAGGCTGTCATGCTCCAGGTGGCCAAACGTGGCTGAATAGATGGCCAAAACCGTGTCATTCTTACAGGCCAGCTTCAGCCGCTCATTCTCACAAACTGTTCTCGAGCGATGATGCTCTGTGGAGATGGAAAACTCATTAGGTGTGTGAAAAACGCAAGATATTTTGAAAATATAGTCCGATTCAAGTGTTTACATTTTTATTTTGTGCCTACTGATCAGACCATTTCAGGTCTACACCATTACTTTCAAACAGATCGAAATTCATTTGGATCAAGCTCCAACGGATTGACTGAGGCCTTTTCAATCTTACTGCGCCATCAATTTGATTATTTGGGTGCATGTAATGTAGATATAGATGTCCTGTTCAGTTACAAAATATCACTGAAGCACAAATAAAGGTGTCTCACCAGGCTTGCACTTGTAGGAGACAATGATGTATTTGCTGGTTTCAGGGCAGAGATCTTGACCAAACACAGGACTCACCACAGGAATCTGACACTCCTGTCGGTCCTGGCACTCAGACATCACTTTCTAGACATAAAAAAACACACATTCTGACTGAAATTCATTAAAGAATGAGTAAATGCAGATCAAAGATACCTGAATGGCTGTCGTTGATATACAGTCTGTGTTTTCCTCTGTTATGTTTGGGTTTGTGTGTGGGCATAGATATGGACTTGGAATACGGCGTCCATAAAATGCTGAGAGAACAGCCACAGATGTTCTGGTGGGGCATCTGATGGACAGCGTCTCTCCATCACACGCATGGGCAGTGTGGTTCTTAAGGATTCTGTGGAGGTAATCTAAAAGGAGAGTATCATTTGAGCATCACTGTTGCAGAGATAAAGGCCTATGTCACGGCTCAGCATACAAACAAGGCATTGTGAATGCTTTTAGAAAACAGCATTGTAGACCACAACTAATGTACAGCCTGTTGTAGTGCAAATCCAGCAGAATGACAATGGGCAAGTAAACTCCCTCCCTCTCTAATCTAATCTTGTCAGGTGTGGCTGACATTAAAACAAAACTCCTGGGTTGGAACCCAGGAGGAGAAAATTGCAAAAATAAAAAGAATAAAAGAAAAGAAAAGAACAGAGAAAAAAAAAGAAAAGAAAATGAAAACATAAATGAAAATTCTTAATTATTTTGCATTTTGGTGGGCCTATATAATGTTTTATAAAAAAAAATAAGAATAGATTTCAGTGATTTTGAAGGAGAAAATGGCAAATAACAAAATTAATGCAAATTATTAATAATGCAAATTTGTTATTACAAATTATTAATAAGAAATTTCAGTGATTTGGGAGGGGGAAATGGTAAATAAAATTAAATAAATAAATAATAATAATAAAGCAAAAATATTGGTAAGCCTATGCATTTATTTGTATTATTAATACATTATGCATCATTTTATTAATACTTTTTTGGGGGGATTAGACTAAAAAGATCTATAGTCAATCACAAAATAATTGTATCAATAGTTTAAAAAAAAAAGTTTAAATCTAAATTAAGCTGCTATTGATACATTTCCTTTAAAAATGGTATTGGGAATTCTTCATCTTTCAAATCCCAAAAACTTTGTCAGAAAATTGCACTGAAAGAGAGGCAGGGGTCAAAGACAGCCATGTAGTCAGAGGAAATGACCCCAACAGGATTTGAAAGAGGTCTTCCTGTTCACTGTACGGCAGACTTGGGATTTAAATCTTGGAGAACATACTGCAGAGCATTTCCTTCCCTAGAAGCAGTTTTCTCTTTCTTATCCTCCACTTTTCCACGCAGCTCAGGTTTCTAGACTGTTATGTTTTAAACAAGCATGGCTCCGTTCCTTCACCGGACCATATCCATGAGTATTCAAAGAGACGGAACTGGATCAATGGCAATTGTAATGGTTGGCCTGTACCTCTCTCTCTCTCTCTCTCTCTCTCGGTTTAGGCCATTCTGCATCTGTAAAGCCCTCTGTTATGCAGTGCCAGGTACAGACACACTCACAAATAAACACAATGAGCTATTCTTGGCTTATTATTACTTGAAGCCACTACAGAACAGCAGAATTAAGAAGCTAACATTTGTCAGGGACACTTAAATGCTGACTTTTATGGTACTATAACACATAAACACAGGATGGGACAGTTCTGTGACTCTAACACCCATCTCTTTTAAGCTGATACACTACAGATTGTTGGCAAGGATTGTTTGAAAGACAAAATACAGAATGTTTTCTTTCCTTTGGGAGGTTTGCTCCAAGACAGCATGCTGGATTTCCTCTATCACAGCCACAAAATCAGAGAAAAACACTCACCAGAGAAATCTGGAGCTGACGAGGTTTGCCGTGTGTTGACAGCTAGGGCGACAGAGAGGAAACACCAGGACCAACAAGAGCTCCATGGAGACATAGTGCACAACGCACATTATGAAGCGCTGTGATTTTTAACTAGGAGAAGTTGTTTGGCTGTTTACAGCCCTCTGACTTCTGACCAGGAGAAAGGGGTCAATGGTGGCATTGTGTTGAGTGGAGAACAAGAGCTCTTTCAACAGCATTGACACTGACGTACATTTGTGTCATTGCACTAATTAGACGGTTTTCATGCTTGTTTTCCATTTATTTATCAAAAGGGCTTTTTGAGGTGACAAAGTTCACACGTCTGTTTTTACTAAGCAGCCACCCTGATGATAATAAATTTAGTTTCCAGTCAAAAGTACAGCACAGATCAGTATTCAGTAATGATCAGTCTGAATCAGAATTCTAGTCTTAAAAGTAAACAAATATCTGTTATAAGTTAAATTAACCTGAAAAGAACATTAGTGTAAGATATTAAGACTTGTTTTCATATATAGCTTTCATATAAATTGATTTCAAACGTTTTACTATATCTTAAAATGTATTTATTTTTAATATAATACGTTTATATTATACATAATACAAATAATACTTTTTGAAATATAATTTAATTGAATATAAATGTTTGACTTTTAATTTTCTTGTTTTAAGCATTTATCACATAAAATTATATACTTAAAACAAAACACATTTGCTGGTGGGGTAAGAAAACTAAACCTATACCGTATAACATACTTTTTTTTTTTTTAAGAAATTAATATTTTTCAGCAAGGATGCATTCAGTTGATCAAAAGTGACCCAAACTTTTGAAGGGCAGTGTACATAAAATAGATATTCTCTGAAAATATCATTATTTTACACACTTTTGTTTTTTGAGTGGGTCTTGTTGTATTTATTTATTTATTTTTCATTTTTGTTTGCATTTTTATCATGCTTTTCTCTCCATTTTCAGATTTCTCTCCAAGAAAAAAACTCAAAACAAGAAATGATCTTTGCTGAGCTTGACTATTTTGTTTCCTTTGCAGTGGGTCCTCATGATCAACATTTGGGGTCCTGTTTCAGGAGATAAAGCAAGGATTTTCCAAGCTGTGTGTTCGCAGCTGCTGGATGTCCTGTAGATAGCCTATCATCTCAGGGTATAAGTGATTCCTCTCTCAGCCTGGAGAAGAGAGGTCAGTGGTTAGTGAGTGCATCACATTTCTGTATTCCAGAAACACTAGAAAAAAACAACTCTGTTGCCATAGCAACTAAATACATCTAGATGAAAATATGAGTCTTGTGTCAGTCTGCTTTCTCTATAAGGACAGTACGTTATCTAAACATGTGCTGCCAATTAAGCAGAAGACAGAAAACACGTAAGACTATCTATAAAGTGCATCTTAGCTTTCTCAGCAATCAGTCAATACAAACACCCTCCCCAATCAAAAAGACAAAAGAAAGTTCCACCCCCACATATGAGATTGGTCTAGTGCCTGATAGGAATGTTTGTGAATTAAATGCTGTACAATAAGGTGCTGACCTTTGACATGTTTGCTTAGTGATTGCAATGATGAATTCAGATTAGAGTCTTAGTCTTGCATCCTTACAGCTCATCATCTCCATGGTGATTTCTTGTTTGGTGGTATATTCTTTGCGGTGGAGCAGTATAACGGGAATGAGAAGCTAGCATGGACTAAACAGCTATCAGCTCAGATTTGTTACTCACAGTATCCTGTTGGCTCCAGGAGGAGGGAGTACATGGGTAAACATTTCCTGTGCTGGCCGAAGTGAAACTCACTTAATTTCCAGGATTTGTTAAGAGTTTCCATGTCAGGCTCTTGTTTTGTATACAGTACAGTATGATCAAGAGCATTTTTATACGTAAAGGGACAGTTCACCCCCGCTTCTCAAGTCACTGAAAACATTACTTCTGTGGAACACAAAAGAGGATATTTAGCCAAATGACAGAGCTGCTCTCTTCCAAACAATTAACTTTTTTAAAGAACCATTGTCTGACAAGCTTCATCATTAAAATAGTCCTTACTTATACACTGTATTGTTTATTCAACTTATTTCACCTTATTTAATCTTATTTAACACGGAAGTAAGCCATTTTTTTTTATGTGCGAGAATTATGATTCATTAGTCGCTAATAACTAGGCAAATATCTAGAAGAATAACTTAAGTGCAGTAAAACTATTTGTGCTACAAACAAATGTGTTTATTATGAAAATACATCAAAATAATATGATAAGCAATAAGTTAGCAATGTAAAGAAATATAACAAGCTGTTTTGTACAGCTAAAAATAACTGAAAGCGGATGATATCAGAAACCTCACACATTCGATGTTACAACTGTCTTACACTTACTATATTACAAAAATATTGCTTTAAATTTCTAACTTGACAGACGTGGCCATTCACTTTCACTATATGGAAAAGAACAGCTTGGACATTCTACTAAATATGACATAGGTTTCAAAAACACATGAGCGTGATTTAATAATTAATTTTCATGTTTTGTCAACAACCACTTTTAAAAGTCTTTGGGAGGAAAGAGCAAAGTGTCTCCTTGCTTTCTAGAGGTTTTTTTTTCATATAGTAGTGAGGTGTCTGCTTTTATGGTAATACTGTTTCAAACTATTGTGATTTCCCCAAAACGATGCAATAAATACCCTTAAAACAACATCTGTGTGCTGAATGAGGAAATGAAACTCTTGCCCATTAGTGTTTATTTAAGAGGATGAAATATGGAACCGTTTTTTTTTTAAGAATGACATTGTCACTATAAATTCTGTTTTATATAGCATTGTTGTACAGGATGAATTTTATTGTCTAAGTTGGTGTAAGAGATGAACTTTATGGTGTAAGTTATTCTAAGAGTGTTTCCATGTTAATATGCGCAGTTATGAAGGGAAGCCATGAGATGACAGAATTGTTTCCCTGACTCAAACCGCATCTGTGACTCAAGAGGACTGCACAGGGAATGAGGGGAAGTACCTATTTGTTTAAAAAGAACCAATCCCTTGAGAATGATCACATACCCCAACCCTCATTTGTCCATTAACACACAACTGTGTGTGTATCTTAGCAATAAACGTCTGATGTTTTATATAAACTATACACATACTATAGACTAACCCTACCACATACCCTAACCTACTACTACCAGAAAAGTGCATTTATATGTGTATGTGTATATATATATATATATATATATATATATATATACAAATGCA